GGATTTTTAATCCCAAAGGGCGAATAACCTTTTTTTGCTTCGTGCGTAGTGGTGGGCAATTCATTTGGCTTCGAAGCATCTTCTTTATAAGGTTTAATAAATTCCCAAATGCCTTATCGGATACACCATTCTTTTGCCTTCCATTTGTAGCAATTCCAGTGTTGTACCCAGCTTTTTTGCCCTCTTGACCGTCGGGTATAGCAACTTTCTATGATCCTCAAGCATGCGCTCCAACTTAACTTTCTCTTTTCACTTTCCCATTCTTGTTGTGCATCACGAATGGCATCGCCAAGAGCATCACCGAGATCATCTTCTACCGCTACCTCTTCTTCATCTCCCCCATTGTAGTATCATCAAAGGCACCATCTTGAGCAATAATGTCATCAATGTCTAAATCTTCTCCTTCACCTTCTTCCATCATGACCCCGCTTTCTCCATGCTTAGTCCAACATATATAGTTTAACATGAAACCTGACTTAAGCAAATGTGAATGAAGACTCATTGAGCTTGAATATTCCTTTAAATTCTTACATAGGGCACATGGACAAACATATGAAACCATCCCGCTTATTTGCCTCGGCCACACCTAAGAAATAGTGCAAGCCCTCTATAAAGTCTTGGGAGCGCGATCGGCATTGTACATCCAATGGCGTGACATAATCAGTATTACAAGACAAATTATGAAAACCTTGAACATAATTAAGTATTTTATTACACAACATAAATGACACACACGGTTGATTAATTAACTAAGCTTTGGCTACAACGTAAGCAATCCCAACTATCACTAAACAAACTAAAACTACAATGCACTTCAAAGAATATAATTATTTTGTGATCGTCACGCAACTAAAATGAGACAAATCATTCTTCCGTTGAATATCAATAAGCTTCTCCTCTTTGGCTCATCGCCTCATCAAGCAGCTACCGCTACCTCAAGCGCACCCAAATTCTGCACGTATGTAGCATAATCTTCCTCCCATTACCAACCATCGCATCCATTGCCCTCCCACCAAATTAAAGCCAAAAATTATTTAGTCAAAATATTCAAGAAAAGCAGGTCAATTAGCCATAATTATAAAATGCGTAAGAAACTCACATCGCGATCCGGGCACTTGTAGAAAACACGACCCTTGTTGGGTCCCTGTCTCTTGACTCGGTACTCCATCACAATCTTCTTACACTTGCCGCAGATAATGAGAGGGAGTTCGACCTCAATCGTTCCAAGAACCGAACGAGAGGCCGAGGATCCAAATGCTGATTGTCATCTACTTTCTATACTTATTTTTGCAAACTAGTGTAAATTTCATATTTTCAAATATCCATCAAATTATAGCTCAAAAACATGTTTCAATAAATAACCATCCGTACTAGTTGACCTTGCTTACGTGATCATCTCGTGAGCATTTCTCCACCGGACGGCAATCACCGTGCTTGGCCAAGGAAGAGCTCCGATTCTCGAGAAAGGGAACACGGTCTTCCACGACCGCTGCCGCTCTCCCTCGTAGAATCAAAGCTCCTCCTTGACGTCCGTTATCGCTTCGGCGAGAACATGCTTTGCCGAAAGCTGAACACGGTCCGCAAAGTTCAACTAGTACAGATTTTCTACAATTTTCTAACAATTTTCTAAGTTTTTCATTTCATGAAAAATTAATTCTAAGATCACGTAAGCCACCGGGGACGAGAATGGCGCGTGCTCCAGCGAGGAGACGAAAGCGAGGCGTGATTTTGATGAACTAATTTAACTTTTGTTTATCCAAACATATATGCAAATCATCATGTTATTTTGAGCTAAAAATGACATATAAAATCATAATAAAGTCCAACATATAAAGTTACACATGCATCTACATCGCAAAATGAGATAAGCTACTGATAAAACATAAGAGGATTAAGTTTGTTACCTCCAAAATCGAAGATCAACACCAATGGAGGGGGAGAGTGCAAGAACAACAGCAAGCTGAAGAACAGAGGCAGTGAGTTTGAATAATGGAATGGCTCGGGCTCGGGGAGGAAGAATTGAGCAGAATTATAGGCCGGGATAATTAGTCCCGGTTAGGGGGTCCAAACCGGGACTAAAGATTAATCTTTATTCCCGGGGCATAACCCAAACCGGGACTAAAAGCTTTAGTCCCGGCTGGTATTACCAACCGGGACTAAAGGTAAAGATCCCTGCCCCGCGGACGACCGTTGGGCAGGGACCTTTAGTCCCGGTTGGTATTACCAACCAGGACTAAAGGGTCCTTTAGTCCCGGAGGCAAAAAATGCCGAGGCTAATGCTAAATTGGGACATCGTTCTAAAGTCTGTTCTCTAGTAGTGCATGCTCTATGTCACATAGGACAAGTGGTGCAAACTAGGAGGGGGAGTACGTTTTCTACAGCAATGGCTCTAAGAAGGGAAATGACATCCACAGATGTCGTCAATGTTAACGGGAGAACCAAGGTTTTTCAACCAAACTTCTAGAGGGTAAGTAGAGCTCACAATAATGCCTCCGACAACGAACATGTCACCAAATAGGTCACCATTGTTGGCGAAAGCCAAGGACCTAGCACGGATTTGGCTCGACAATACCCGCACCCAAGCCCAAACTAGCTAGCCACATTGTGGATGACCATGGCAATCGAAACCAGCTGGAGATTGTTGCTACAATGACGAGGTCACAGACATAGGTGAGCTATCACCGCCATGCCAACCCATAGGGGCCACCTCCGATCTGTCCAACATGGCATCAGCCATCATGGGAAGCCACATCATGTTAATATTGTACCATGCATAAGAGTGCCACCGATGACGTTGTATATCGTGGCCCCTCAAGCTAGCATCGAAGCACAAGCCGCCATCTGTTGATTGTCGCAGTGGTAGTGAGCCTACCACGGCATGCATGGCAAAATTGCATTTATTTACAAATACTCTTCCTGTTCGATTAGAACGCTTCACACCAAAAAGGTAAAAAAAAACTCTTCCAGAAAATGTACAGTGCCCTCTATTTTGTAGGCACCAAATTAAAGCACCACCACCATTAGATTGGAACACCTGATCATAATAAAGTCCCAAACATCCCAAATCTATTCTGCCCGCACCATAATTTGAGCGGCCACCGGCAGCGCGGTATTCACCGGTGACCGGCACACCGGGCAGGTGATGCGCGATCTCAGCCACGCATCGATACACCCCTCGTGGAACAGATGCATGCACGCAGGAAGCTGCTTGACCACCTCCCCGCGCTGCAGCTCTCCGAGGCAGACCGCACACTCGTCACCGCCGGCCTTATTGTCGTACACGTACGCCGGGAGGGCCGCGATCGCGGAGGCACCAAGGCCGTTACAGTGGACGACACCCGGTTGTGCTTACGGCTCGGCATGCGACGGTCCTGGCTCCATCTCCGGTGCCGCCGGCTGCTGCACTTGCACCGGGAGGCCCCTGCCTGCGTTGTTGTCACCTATGTGGTCGATAAGGAACGGCCAGTGGACGCAAAGGACAACGGAGACGAAGACGAGGATACTGAGGTCCCAACGCGCGCCGATGACATACAGCATCCAGCCGGCGAACATGCAGAGTGGATTAACACGATGCACGCGATCCTGACAAAGAGCGCACCCCTACGTCCTAAGAAGAACATCGTGCACGGTGAGTGCGGGCATAATGAATGGTAACTATATCCGAAAGAGGATGCTTTATTTGAGGATAATTATTGATGTGAGGAACAGCCAGTCTTTCTAGGGAGAGTTCGTCGTTAGTAACAAGAGAAATGCCTCGAGGTTTACAGCTACCCGTCTTAGCTTTCTCTTGCAGCAATTTTGATTTGCCAGCGAGACAATATATCTACTAGGTAGATAGTAGTCAGCATGTGGATCAGCAAAATTGTACGTGACCCCATCTTAATGTTAATATATTGGTGGCCTTCATATACCTCAGACAGGATTGACAAAAACATATATGGCAGAAATTCTTATACATATTGTGTAACCCTCTAAGTGGCATCTAACTTACCGACATTTGCTATTATAATGACCCTATAAATTTGCATATCAACTATATATCTACCTATGCCAGTATGAAAGATAATGCATAGTAACCTATGTCACAATCACATACAAAATATATGTTTTCTCATCCTATATCTCCGAACAAATGTGCAATAATAGAAAACATGGTAACATGTGAGGCAATATAAAATGAGATATTAAATTGTACAAAATTCTCTTGGAGTCAAATGTGCCAATGTTATTTTATTCTCTATACCCCGAACAAACAATATATATTTGGTTACAAAGCAGCATATCTTGTGGTTGTCCTGTTTTGTAGAGAAAGAATTGTTGAATAATAAGAAGCCTGACAATAAAGATCTCTATAGTTGAGTAATGTTGCATGTACAGTCGGTAGATCTTTATTTTCACGCCGTATGGGTAGGAGATTATCTCAGGTCTTTAATTTGTGACCTTAATTTTTGCAACATCATCTGGATAAGAGAATATATTTTACCACCCTGCGTAGTGAAGTTTTTTGAGCTCTTGAGTTTTGGTGGATTTTTTCGTGGCAACCGGCAGCATACTCGCTCCGGAACAAAGTGCATTTAGAGCCTTTCTTTCACTGACAATCCGCAACCGGCAGCATACTCTTGAACTACAAACACTGCTCCCCAAACAGAGCCGCAGATTGAATTAAATGGCCGGCAACAAAATAGTCAGAGCAAGTTCAATAATACAACCAAATATTGACTATTAGATAAGTTTTAAGAGTCAAGCTATACAATAGTGATCTCTTATTTGTCTGTAGAAAACTTTTTTATTGTTAGGTTTACTCATGTCCCAACTCACATTTTCTAATCCTCCACACATTTACTTAATGCATGGACCCACCACTGCATATACATCTGTGCCCAGCTTATTGATTGCATGAGGGTCAAGCTCTTCTCTCTTCTTTCCTCCACATCAACATTTGCTTGGCTATAAACCAATTATTATACTTGCTCTTATAGGATTACAGCAAAATCCGTAGTTCAACGACTGTCCTGATGGCGCACATGGATCTCCACGCTCGCCGGCGCAGCCGCCACGATGACAGGACTACGGCACACCGGGCACGTCCGGTGAGACCACAGCCACAGGTCGATGCACCCTTCGTGGAACAGGTGCGTGCACACGGGTAGCTGCTTCACCGTCTCCTTTGGCTTCATCTCGCCGAGGCAGATAGAGCACTCGTCACTGCCGCTGCCGCTCTTCTTCTCGTACTTGTACACTGGGAGACTGGCGATGGCAGACGCGCCAAGCCCTAGGGCCGACGACTCCTGTGGAGGAGCGGCCATGGACTCAGCAGCTGGTTGTTGCCTCATGCGGTCGCATAGTCCGATGACGACGAGGAAGGCGACCAGGAGGACGGTGACGCGGGCCATGACGTCCCAAGAGGCGCCAACCAGGGACAGCACCACGATAGTTACCATCAACGGAGGGAGGACGATCATGGCGAGCTTGAGCGGCATGGCGTATGTACGATCAATTGAAGGCTTGAAGCTGATTGAACTCTGCTGGCCCCAGCTTCTGATAAAGGCATGTAAGTGTCGATTACTTCGCTAGGAGCGGAACTCTAGATTGCCTCAGTTACAAGTGTGACGGCCTGTTAACAGTCAGATTTGACTCATCGCTCATCGGTGCTGACAAGCTCCCTCCTTGTAATTTACGTGCTTCGTTTTCTCCAATATATAAGGCACGATTTTACTGTACTTTAGGCGCCTACACCGGCCATACCGATGTAGCCACATGTGGCAATGTCTGCACTTACTAGGATCTGCAACTGGTCATTTTTCTTTTAAAAGTTTAAATGGGTTACAATAATTTCATATCAGCGCGCTCTGGGATTAAATTATAATTCAATTGAACTAGGCTGTGTACTGGGTTGGGTATCAAATGTTTCAATTGGCATTGACAATGAAGTTTCATCAACATAGATATCATGTGTGTCCAAATTTCTTCTCTAGAAGCCATGGCAATATGTTCACCTTAATTTGACAAAGAACCATATTGAAATTGACATAGCAAATATGGAACATAAATTAAAACAAGATGCCAAAGATAATTTATTGGAGGCAAATTGATTCCCTATTTTAATCTTTGTGTGGTAAACAATCAATACAATATTACTACACCAGATTAATGCATCATTGTCGGGTCTAAATTTGGCATCACGATCCAAATGGTTCCGGCCGGGAGTAATGGCCTAATGGGTAGTGATAGGCTTGCCTATCGTTGCTGGTTATTCACATGACAATGATATCATCCTATAACTTCCGGGTCTAGCCCAAAAACGGCAGTGATAAAAAAATGTGTTTGCAAGATTCAAATTGAGGAATTCAACACTCTCTCAAGCATCCATACCATCTGAGGTGCATAACACTTATTATATAAATGATGCTATTGTTTTAACTACACATTTACAAATCTTATATTTATACATTTGACACTCTAAACGATCTCAAATGAAAAACTTGTTAACTACAAAGTTATAGGTCTCGTCGAGTTGTTGTTAACTTTTTCTCCATTTGACATTTGTCAACCATCTCAAATCCAATCCGAGAACATAAATTAAATATTTAGAGATATAAACCATCTGAAATTAAAAAGTTATCAACCACAAGCTTTCATCTCTTTGAACTCTACAATTTTGGTATAAAGTCTATCTTTACCTAACTTCACATGAAAAAGTTATGATTTTTTGTGAAAAAAGCCTATCACTGCCTGTTGCAACCATGAACTGGCAGTGATAGTTAAATTTTCATTGTCGGTTCATGGTTGTCATTTCCAGTTATAGCCATGAATCGACAGTGAAAGCCCACCTACCACTGCCGGTTGTACGACTATCACTGTGGATCAAACCGACAGTGATACATTATCATTATTGACTCCAAAACCAACCGGCAGTGATAATCCAACAATGATTGCCTATTCGGTGGTAGTGTATACAATTAATATAATGCCTATGATGAGGAGGCAGACAGTAAGGCAGTGGACAGTGAACAAGAGAGGGAAAGGACGGCTCCGTCAACCTTGGAACCTGATCTAGCGACACTGCTTCTTCTCCGCTTGGATGGACATAGAGGTAGAGAGCGGCAACACCGCTTCTTCCCCGTTTAGATGACACGGAGATGGAGGGTCATGTCTTCCCCATTTGGATGGACATAGATGGTCACGTCTTCCCCGTTAGGATGGACATAGAGATGGAGGACGACGATGTTTCTTCTTTGCCGTTAGGATGGACACATAAATGGAGGGTTCTAGGTGGCGGCTCGGTGAGATGGGAGTACGGTGACAGCATGGGAGAGAGTCCATTGGAAACAAAAAGACACGCACCAGGAGGGGAGCGGAGGGTTGTGGTGTCGTCTTGGAGAGAGAGTAGGGTGGTGGCGTGGAAGAGAGGATGCTTGGAAACAAAATGAGTGTGGGAGAGGAGTTGAAAACTTTTCTTGAGAAAAAATTGTAGAGTAGGGAGCTCCCTACACACCAGAGATGGAACTAACCGGAGAAATTTGAGCGGAGTTAAAAGGATCCTGTTGGATTAAGTTTTTTTCTCTGATCCTACAAAGAAAAGTGGAGAGCTTGTTAAGGTTAAGGTCTTTGTTAGAGATGCTCTTATCGCCAACCGGTGGCTGGGGTGAGCATCCCACCTCACCCATCTGGTGACTCCGCCTAAACCTCCACCCTCACCATATCGTCGTAACCTTGTTCCAAAATGGGCTACTTTGCATTCATCGCCTCTCCCCAACGAATGGTACGGTCTTCTGCAACCTGCGAATTGTCTCTGTCGCTGCTACTTCAGGTGCGTGTGCTGACCTCCCGTCATCACAGTTGTGACCTTGAATTCAACTTTGAAACTCGGTGTCATCTGAGAATTGAGATTGAGAGTGCTGAGGAAGCACCACGATAGAACTATCCCTTGCTTTCAATATAAGCAGGGTGTAAAGCCTTTGATTAAAAAATAGAACCGCGTGCCCTTTGTGAACGCCACGATGGAATCGTGGGGATGACAGCATCCTGGCACTTCTTGGCTTCTTCCACACCGTTTGCTAGCACATGTGAACACCACCCGTTTCAGCCTCTTAGGCCGCGTTTAGTTCGGCCCCAGATTTGGCGCCGCCCAAATTCGCGGCACTGTTGCGCACTGTAGCGTTTTGTTTTTATTTGATAATAATTATCCAATCGTTGACTAATTAGGCTCAAAACGTTCGTCTCGTAAAGTACAACTAAACTGTGCAATTAGTTTTTGATTTCGTCCACATTTAGTACTCCATACATGTACCGTAAATTTGATGTGACGGGGAATCTTCTTTTTGTATAATGCCAAATTCTGGAATTTGGATGAACTAAACGTGGCCTTATATCTCAACATAGTGGCAACAGTGATATGAGGAAGCCGAATTATTTATTCATCTGGGTCAGTAGATCCTTTAAACTTGGGGACAAGTCTTATCAATCTTTTTCTTGTAGAATCGAGGTTATGTTACTTGTGTGTGTATATATATATATATATATATATATATATATATATATATATATATATATATATATATATATATATATATATATATATATATATATATATATATATATAGTGGCCCCTATTCCTAACCAGTGGCTGGTCAGTCGAACAACTAGGGTAACCTCTTGGTTGCCTAAGCAATGCAAATTCGAGTCCAAGAGGAAAAAAGAAGGATTTACATGTTCGCAGTATTATGAATACGCATGACAGGATAATGTACTGTGCACATATTTGTAATTGTAAGACTTCAGTGCAATACAGTAAACCAAAAGAAATAGCATTTATTGTCCTGGCAAAATATAAATCTATATTTAAAGCAAGGCGAAGGAGAAGGCTGTCATCGAAAAATAAAGTCCAGCCAGACAGATTATTATGCCTTGCATCAGCTCCCGAAACTCGCAAGCACGCTGCGCTGACAGATGGGGCATATGGGGCAGATGCGCATCCACCGAACGATGCAATGGTTGTGGATAGGGATGAAAACGTGTAGGATACGAACAGATATCAATGATATTTTATTTGTTTTTGTATTTTTATTTGGATTCGGATTTGAATACGGATAGTCAATCATGCTGGATAGAGTACGATTAGATATCGACGTTATAAATATGTGATTTGAATATTTGGATATAAATACGCTATCGGATATTAAATAGTCGGACTCGGATACGGATATACCTGAACCTCTCTAAATGGATTCGATCTTGAATACGGTCGAAAAATATTCATACGGTTTTCATGCGTAGTTGTGAATAGGTGCTGACAAGCCGGTAGCCGCCTCGTCACAAACACGTCGTCCCCGACCTTGCGGAGCCAGATCGCGCATTCCTCGAAAGTCGGATGTTGTCCTGCGCACGGTTCGTCCCATGGGGCCGTCGTCCCACTGGAGTTGCCGCGCACGTTTCGTTGCGTTGGGCACGCGTCGGAAGGCAGTTAGCACCACACCAAGACAACCTCAGCGATGGAGACGTCGGCGTCCTTCCCGCCAACACACGGCCATGAACATGAGTAGACGTAAGACCGACGAGCATGTCGATGCCCGTACGTTGCAGTTTTCTTTCCTGGCGGACAATAATAATGTGGTGATGGGCAAAATGAAGGAAAATCTGCTTGCACATGGAAAAATCCGTTGGGAAATAACATCTGATTTGCAGCCTGTGTTTGTTTGGCTGTGGCCTGTCGTAAATGATCGTAAATTTCTAGTCGAAACAGTATTTTTCTCTCACACAAACCAGCCAGCAGTACTTCTTCACGAACCAGCCAACCGAACAAGCCGCAAATCGTTAAGAACAAAGTCTACTTACCACTTATTCTACTTTATTTAGGTAACTTATATATAACGATAATGATAACTATAGCGCGTCCTTCGAGGCTCCGCACGCGCTGCATGCCGCGCCGCCGCACCGCCTTCGCATGCGCTGCGTGCCACGAACCCCTGCGCGCGCCGTGTACGCCCCCTGCCCGCAGGGGCTAAAACTGAGCTGCAGAGACTAATAGGTAGCGATGGTGACGTAAGACTAGAAAATGACACGGATTCACCGTGTCTCCCCCCGCGGCCGTGCTCCATTCGCCTACCGAGGTCCGTGACGCCGATGAGCTTGCACCGGCGACCTCCACGCCACTCCATGGCATCGAGGTCCGCGCTGACGTCGAGCTCCTTATGTTTCATGTTTTTCAGATATATATTTTATCTGGATGTTCTATATATTTAATCTGGATGTTGTAAAAGTAGATCGGTGTTGCATATGTTACAATGGTTATAAACGTATCTTGCAAGTGTATGTTTCAAATGTTGTAGCTGTTTTAGACGTATGTTACAAATTGTTTTATCTAGATATTCCATATGTTGCAGTAGTTATACACATATGTTGCAAGTGTATGTTCCAAATGTTTTACCTGGTTCATACGTATGTTGCAAGTGTTTTATCTAGGTGTTATATATGTTGCAAT